AGCACTGCGCCTCCTCTGAGTGTCCGTATGCGTTACTCTTTCCTCCTAGTTGTAGGACTTCCACTCAGCCAGCATTCCTGTGGTTCTGGATGGTGTCCGTTCTGTCTTTTAGTTTCACTTTTGAAATGGTTGTTCAAGGCAGCAAACTCCAGCGTTAACCTATGCCGCCATCTTGGTTCCTGTCCACTGACATTTTCTCGATCCACGTACCTGGGTCGGGTTAGTTCCCTGATTGGGAGGCAATCAATCGATGTCTCTTCTCTCTCCCTCTTCCTCCCTTCTACTCTTTCTGTGACACAATGGAAAAAATGTCCTCTGGTGAGGAAAAAAAAAAAAAGGAATATTTTCCTAACCCAAATAATTTCTCCTATGTTTCTTCTAGAAGTATTTTAGTTCTCACATAAGTCTATTCATTTTGCATGAATTTTTGTGTGTGGTATGGTTTATTTATTTATTTTTTTGCATATGGATAACTAATTTTTCCAGTATCATTTGCTGAAAACATAATGATTCCCTATTGAACTGACTTAGCATGTTTATAAAAAAGAAAAAAAAATCAACTGATCCTATTTGTGAGGGTTTTTAAAAATATTTTTATTAATTTCAGAGAGGAAGGAAGAGGGAGAGATAGAAACATCAATGATGAGAGAGAATCATTGATTGGCTGCCTCCTGCACGCCCCCCACTGGGGATCGAGCCCAAAACCCGGGAATGTGCCCTTGACCAGAATCGAACCTGGGACCCTTCAGTCCACAGGCCGACGCTCTATCCACTGAGCCAAACCGGCTAGGGCTTGTGAGGGTTTTTTTTTTTTCTGTTCTGATGGGTTTGGTTCCCGGTCAAGGGCACGTACTTGAGCCAAACCGGCTAGTTTTAACAGAAGAATACAATATTCAGTGCTACAGTGACCGATTGAAGGAGCAATTAACATAACCAGTGATACAATGACTGCTGCAACTGTGTATATACTCATTTTGGGATAAGAGTGATGTTAACATAGAAATATTCAAACCCGCCCTAGCTGGTTTGGCTCAGTGGATAGAGCCTCAGCCTGCAGACTGAAGGGTCCTGGTTTCGATTCTGGTCAAGGGCACATGCCTGGGTTGTGGGCTCGATCCCCAGTATGGGGTGTGCAGGAGGCAGCCGGTCAGTGATTCTCATCATTGATGTTTCTCTCTCTCTCTCCTTCCTCCCTGAAATCAATAAAAATATAATTAAAACAATTGTTTAAAAAAATATTCAAACCCGTAAAGAATTTTTGTGAATTGATTTGAGCCAAACTGTTGACATACACCAGAAAGCAGAACCTCAACGAATTGAGATAATTGAGAACGACGGGTTACATCTGTATTTATACGTTGCAATCAAAGGAAAAGGGGCGTAGGTGGGTTACATGAAGTGCATTGGTGATAGACTAGAGAGGTGGGAGAAAGCAAAGGGGGGCGGGGATGGGGGGAACCCCTGGGATCGGATAAACAGTAAAATGATAGACACATACTTAGGTGGGTGAAGAAACAATTAACATGATGATGAAGGAATTTGTGGTATCTGTCCTGGCGTCCAGCACATTAGGTTGTGCTCCACGGGGGGCCAGAAAAAGGGAAGTTACAAGTTACCCAGACATTTCAAGGGTATGTTATTATAGATGCAAAAAGACAGACAGGCTCAGTTAAGGTAAAGATTGACCTTGTCAGTGAAGATACCAGCCTAGGACATAACTACCCACCATAACTGCTTTTAGTTCCAGGATAAGAATGAAGGAATTTGTGGTCTCTGTCGTGGCGCCCAGCACATTAGGCTGTGCCCCAAGGGGTCCAGAAAAAGGGAAGTTACAAGTT